AGGATGTGGGCGTGAGGACTGCTCCTGCTCCGAGGCCTCTCGGTGAGCAGAGCTCTAGGAGATACGTGCTGTTCTGTTGTGTTGTGTTTTCACATGCATGTGTGCATACCTTTACATTTATTCTGTATCAGTCTCTCTGCACATATCGAGAAGCACCAATTCTAACCCAACACTCTAGGGATCACTCTGGTTTCTCCCTTTATGCTTGTCACTGTCTTCTCACTGAGTGAGAAACGTGGCTTCTCTTTTCCTTAGTGTGTCTGCTTATTAGATCTATGACTCATCTCCAGCGCTTCCTCTCCCCTCATGGGCGCAGACCCCACGCTGTGGTGATGCCATTCTCACGCCATATCCTCCATCGGACTTTGATGGCTCCCTCCACACTGTGACATCATTTCCCTGTGTCCCATCTAATGACTTGAGGACTGAATTGTTAGAAAAGATAGAAAAGGAGGAAGAAGACAGAGCTTTTCTCTTCCCTTAAAAAAAAAGTTCCCCTTTTATTTACTTGTATAACAATGGAGCCGTAGTACTTATGATATTTTTCCCACATCACCCTTTATTGCTGTCTACATTTTTAAAGTTATTTATTTATTTTTTTCCTCTTTCTCTAAAAGCATACAGCACCCCATATTCCCAGGTGGTCTCCCATCGAAGTCCTAACCAGACCCAACCCTGCTTAGCTTCTGAGATCAGGCACGTCCAGGGTGGTATGGCTGTAGACACTGTCCACATTTTTATGGCAGTTTTACTAAGGCGTAATTTACATATCATGAAATTCACCCTTCAAAGATGTACAAATCGGTGTTTTTAATCTAGTTACAGTTTTGCAGTCATCACCACTATCTAACTGAAGACTGTTCTCATCGTTCCAAAAAGAGACTTTGTCCTCATTAGCAGCCACTCCCCACTTCCCTTCTGCTCGTATCTGAAAATACTAACCTGGACATTTCGTATAAACGGAGTCACACAGGAAACGATCTTGTGTGTCTAGCACATGTTTGTAAGCCTCACCCATGTGACAGCATGAATGAGTACCTATTCCTCTTTACGGCTGAGTAATGGCTGTTGTGCGGATAGACCGCATTTTGTTTACCTTTCATCAGCTGATGGACCTTTGAGTTGTTTCACGTTTTGACTTTTGTGAATAGCGCTGCTGTGAACATTCATGTGCAAGGTTTTGGCGTGGACATATGTTTTCAGTTCTCTTGGGTACATACCTAGGGGTAGAACGCCTGTGCCATGTGGTAATGAAGAACATTTGTCCCTGTAAACATTGTATCAGTTTCCTCATAAACTTGGTTTAACTGATACTTTATGCCAAACGGAGAGTTAAAATATTATTTCCTGCTATGTGTCCTTATAGTCATGATCTAATGTTAATTTAAAATTTTGACAATGTTCCCAAGCTAATCAGTTATGCAGGAAATATGAAATGTGTGTCTGTTTTTAAAAGAAGCCACTGAGAACTGTAGAACTTCAAAGACTTTTTAAAAAACACGTGTTGGTAGTCTGTCCTAAATGACAAGCAAGATTTCCAGAACCTTAAGCTGCTGTGAGCTGTGTGTCAGTCAAGGAGGCTGGAGTGTGGTGCACTGCAGGAGGCCAGGGTCACTGGGAATGAAGGGCAGGGCTTCCCTTCTCCATCCGTGGACTTCCCAGCATCTGCGGCTTTTCTAGATGGTCTTATGATGAATCCATTTGGTGAAACAGTCTAACAGCCTCGAGATGGCGTTTCGCTCTTGTTGCCCAGGCTGGGGTGCAGTATCATGATCTTGGCTCACCCGCAACCTCCGCCTCCCAGGTTCAAGCGATTCTCCTGCCTCAGCCTCCCAAGTAGCTGGGACTACAGGCACGTGCCACCATGCCGGACTAATTTTTTGTGTTTTTAGTAGAGACCAGGTTTCACCGTGTTAGCCACAGTGGTCTCGATCTCTTCACCTCGTGATCTGCCTGCTTCAGCCTCCCAAAGTGCTGGGATTGAGGCATCGTGCCTGGCCCACACTTCCTTTTTTATTAATGTAAACCTAATTGGACACTTAGAAAATGAGTAAAAGATTTCATGGTAACTTCCCTTTAAAATTAGGAAAGAATTCTCCAGTTATAGTCTGAATTTACTTTAGCTTCGATTTCATTTCGAGACTGTGTCAGGAATGTTTGAGTGCCAGGGTGTTTTAATGACTGACCAGGGCAAGAAGTATGGAGAGGTTTTGCTTGTAACCTGCCCCTACCTTTGTTTCCGTTGAGAGTAATGCAGACTCGGTGTCTTTTAAAAATGTGGCCTCGGTCCCTGAGTATTAATGGAGACCGTTTTTAAAGAAGTTGTGTTTTTGTCCCGGTTGTGCCGGGTTGGATAAAACGTCTTCTTGCAAGATACTTGTCACGGTGACGGTTACTAATTTAAAAACCAGCCTCCCCAGCCCCACTCTTTTTCTTTTTCTTTTTCTTTGAGGTGGAGTTTCGCTCTTGTTACTCAGGCTGGAGTGCAATGGCGCGATCTCGGCTCACCGCAGCCTCCGCCTCCTGGGTTCAGGCAATTCTCCTGCCTCAGCCTCCTGAGTAGCTGGGATTACAGGCATGCGCCACCATGCCCGGCTAATTTTTTGTATTTTTAGTAGAGACGGGGTTTCACCATGTTGACCAGGATGGTCTCGATCTCTTGACCTTGTGATCCACCCACCTCTGCCTCCCAAAGTGCTGGGATTACAGGCTTGAGCCACCGCGCCCGGCTGAGACTCGATTCTTTACTCGTCTGAGGGTCTTAGCTTTGGAGACTGATCATCGAGAGAATTTCTTTATGACCTTAGACTTTGTTTTTGACTATAAATAACAATATCAAATGCAGTGACTCTCTCTTTCTTCATGGGCGGGGTGGTTCGTGCAGTGGGATGGACTTGCACTCTGGATTCACGGAGATGGTGGGCACTCACGGCTGTGCTGGGCAGGGAGGCCATATCTCTGCTTTGTGAGTTGTAGAAAGTGACGGCACCTCTGAGGTGGTTTTCAGGCTGTTCACGTAAAACACTGAGAACGTTGCCGGCGCGCACTTAGGCAGCATGAGCTCCGCAGATGTAGGTTTCTTCTCTTCCTCATTTCCTCTTGTCACTACCAAAACCAAGAGGGCACCCAGCCTTGGATGACGTGTTTGATCTGTTCTTGCCCTTCTGCAAGGCTAGGGAAGTGGAAATGCTTGCTCAAAATTGTATCTACTAAAAAAATCCATTATCAGAAAAAGAAATCCTGGGCGTTCTTTCCAGGAAAAGGCTATACAGAGCCCACCCTGTGAGCCCCTCCCCCCGGTCTCTTTTCCTAGTGATACAAGTTTTAAATAGTAAAGAGCAGTTCTTCCTTTTGGGGAGACTGATAACCACGCTAGGCTTTGAGGCTGGAATTTTAAGAGCTTAGTAAATAACACATTGGATTGTGTAGATTTGGGAGCCGTTCAACTGTATGGGAAATTGTACTTTGTATATGTGTATGAAGCATCATGAAATAGATTTATATTGATTGTATATTTAATGTTCAAATTTTAGATTCATAGTGCTTTTTTGGAAATATTTTTATTAAATAAAATTTAACTTTTTGCTTAGAAATAATCTCAAACCTTTAGAAAAGTTGCAAGAATAGGCTGGGCACATTGGCTCCTGCCTGTAATCCCAGCACTTAGGGAGGCCGAGGTAGGTGGATCACTCGAGTTCAGGAGTTGGAGACCAGCCTGGCCAACATGATGAAACTCCATCTCTACTAAAAATACAAAAATTAGCCGGTGTGGTGTCACGCACCTATAGTCCCAGGTACTCGGGAGGCTGAGGCAGGAGAATTGCTTGAACCTAGCAGTGAGCTGAGATCCTGCCACTGCACTCTAGCCTGGGCAACAGAGCAAGACCCTGTCTCCAAAACAAAAAAAAAAAAAAAGAAAAGTTGGGAAAATAAGAAAGGTACAAGTAGTACCTGTATGATACAAATAACGCCACGTGCCCTTACTCAGATTTCTTGTTTGTTTGTTTGTTTTCTTTTTTCTTTCCTGGCAACTTTCATTTAATCATTCAGATTTATCTATTGTGAACATTTTACCTCATTTGTTTCTCCTGTGAGCTCTCATTTTGTGTGTGTGTGTGTGTATGTGTGTGTGTGTATGTGTGTATGCAAACAGCGTACCCAGTATACATTCATATATATTTAAAAACACTTGAGGGAGGCTGGGCGTGGTGGCTCAGGCCTGTAATCCCAGCTGCTCTGGAAGCTGAGGCGGGAGAATCATATGAACTGGGGAGGTGAAGGTTGCAGTGAGCCGAGATTGCATCACTCCAGCCTGGGCGACAGAGTGAGACTCCATCTCAAACACAAACAAACAAACAGCAACAACATTTGAGGGGAAGTTGCTTATATCACAATTCTTTACCCCAAAATACATCAGTGTACATTTCCTAAGAACTATTCTTTTACATAAACACAGTGCAAGGGCAATTATCAACGTAAGCAAATTAAACATTGAAATACTACTTTTATTTAATCTACAGTCTGTATTGACCCACTTGACCCAATGATATCCTTTGCAGAATTTTTAATTTAAAAATGGATTTTTTTCTACCTTAAAACTTTATGTACAAAGTTCACGTGACACTCAGTATAAAATTGTGCTATGGCCTCAGCTTCTAATATGTGTTATATGTATGATATATATTAGAGTATATATAGAGTATATTTCTGCTAATTTTGTTTTTTAGGTGATTTTGGATAATTGTATAGATAACTCGTTGACTTTCATTTGAGCACAGACTGGCATTCCGGGATGCTGTTTACACTTTATTTGCTGAGAATGCATGTTCATTCACCCTGACACCTGGGTTAAGCAGTTGTATTTAAATGTTTAATGGAATATGAATTCCATTAATAGTATTCTCTGAGACATCCTGAAAGCTATGATTTAGAAATCTGCTTTACCATCTACTGCTCGTATCTTAATTCTCTAACACGTCATTCTTCTCCCTTGAATCTAGATCCCCCTCAGCACCTCTGGTACTGTACCGTACCTTGATTTTCTGTCCAGGTTTGGTGGAATTGACCTACATATAAATGGCATAAAGAGGTAAGTGTTTGGTTTGCTCATGTGAAAATGTAAAATTTGAAATGATGAGTAAGAGCTATGACGTGAAGCCATTTGCACTAATCATACCAACAGCTATATATGGAAGATGGGTTTATAGAGCTTGTCCATATGGAATTTAATGGAATTAATCCAGTCAAGTTTTATTTAGAGAAGATTTTAGCATCTATATAGGATGTATTTCGGAACAAGAGGAACGATGCTGTAATAAAATGTAAACATAGCAAATTAAAACCAGATAAAAATAGTTTACATGCAATATATCTAGATTTGGAATTAATGGAATTTAACTTTGAAGGAAAATATTAAGATGCCAGATTTAAAATTTGTGGGTTTTTATACATTTTTAATGTTGTTCATTGGAAAGTGATGATGTTTTGGTGGCTAGAAATTTTAAAAAAAGATCTTTGTATGAGCTTCTTGAGTATTTCATAGTTTTTGCATAAAGCATGGGACACTTTTGTTTTTTTCCAACATGAGCAGGTTGGAGTATGACCTTTAATGCCTCAATCAGCAGTAGTTCTTTTTTTTCTAGTGTTTGATTTAGGAGATACTGTTTTAGTAATAAAAATATTTACTTATCTGACTCTAAATGAATAAGTCTCATTTTCTCAGGAGTTGTGTTACCAATTACATATAAGAATTAAATTTGTAGTTCAGCCCCTATGGGAAGCAGTTGGAGATTTCTCAAAGAACTTGGAACTCCCATAGGACCCAGCAATCCCATTACCACATATATACCCAAAGGAGAACAACTCATTCTACCAAGAGACACATGCACTCATATGTTCATCATGGCACTGGTCACAATGGCAAAGACATGGAATTAACCAACCTAGGTGCCTACCAGTGGTGGATTGAATTTTAAAATGTGGTACATATACACCATGGAATACTATGCAGCCATAAAAAAGAATGACATCACATCCTTTGCAGCAACACGGATGCAGCTGAAGGCCGTTATCCTCAGCAAGTTAATGCAGGAACAGAAAACCAACACCACATGTTCTCACTTACAAGTGGGAGCTACACATGGGGTACATGTGGACATGCAGGTGGGAGCAGCAAACACAGCAGACTAGACAGGGGAGGGGATGGGAGCAAGGGCTGAAAAACGATTAGGTACTATGCTCACTATCTGGGTGACAGCATTATTTGTACCCCAAACCTCAGCATCAGACAATAGACCCATGTAACAAACCTGCACATGTACCCCTTAATCTGAAATAAAAGTTGAGGCTTGGCATGGTGGCTCATACCTGTAATCCCAGCACTTTGGGAGGCTGAGGCGAGAGGATCACTTGAGCTCAGGAGTTTGAGACCAGCCTGGATGATAGAGTGAGACCCTCATCTCTACAAACAATTTAAAAATTAGCTGAGCAGGGTGGTGTGCCCTAGCTGCTCAGGAAGCTGAGGTGGGAGGATCACTTGAGCACAGGAGGTGGAGGCTGCAGTGAGCCGAGATTGTGCCACTGCACTCCAGCCTGGGTGACACAGTGAGACTCTGTCTCAAAAAAAAAAAAAAACTAATAAAAAATAAAAGTTGAAATTACACTACTACACTACTGCAGTGTATTACAGTACTACAATTAATTACACTATCTAGTTCATTAAAAAAACACAAAAGCCAATTAATATCAGCTGATAAGAGAAAACGGTATTTAGTATGAACAAAAAAAGATGGACAAAAATCACAGAATGACGAACCGATCTTCTTAAAGGGATAAAAAAATTAAATTCGATCCTGAAATATTAGAAAATCCTGATATCATGGCTTTTATGATGGATGCATCACTGATACAGTGTAGGTGTAAGAATTTGTGTTGTGGGGGAGGGGGAGGTAGAGAATTTATGTGCTTGGGTGTAGAGTTTGATTTTGCAAGATGAAACAGTTCTAGAGGTCGTTTGCAAAATCGTGTGAATATACTTAACACGACTCAACTACACACTTAAAAATGGTTGTGTTATGTGTATTTATCACAATTAAAAAAAAAAGATGGCTGGGCACAGTGGCTCACATCAGTAATCCCAGCACTTTGGGAGGCTGAAGTGGACGGATCACCTGAAGTCAGGAGTTCAAGACTAGCCTGGCCAACATGACAAAATCCCATCTCTACTAAAAATATAAAACCTCGCCAGGTGTGGTGGCACGTACCTGTACTTCCAGCCACTGGGGAGGCTGAGGCAGGAGTATCACTTGAACTCAGGAGGCGGAGGTTGCAGTGGGCCGAAATCACGACACCGTGTTGCAGCCTGGGTGACAGAGTGAGATTCGATCTCAAAAAAACAAAACGAAAGGAGTGCGTGCAGCAGCTGCAGCGAGAGTGACCCAGCACCATCCCCTCCATCACTGCGAACGTCTCTGTGCCCGCTTTAGTTAGTGCTAAGTGGGGACTAAGATGATATCCAGGCTCTTTCAGAAGAATGACAGTTTGTCTTACAGGCTGCCTATTCTTGTTCTTGACATAAAACCATCCCCATTTGATGGATAGGGTTCTCAGGTGGACAGTAAACTAACATGAACATTCTTTGTTAAGAAGGCCAAAGAATTGGAAAAACTAAAAGCAGAGCGCAGAGAGCTTTTTTTCCTTACTGTGAAACCTGCCTAATACATCTGAGATAAAAAACGATCATGAGTTACCTTTGGGCTAAATCTTTAAACTAAATTTGAAAGATTTCTGGTTTACTCGTGAAGCAGAATTATCTTTATTGTTGAGACAGTGCATTCTAGTGAACAGACTTCTTTTTCTAGCAAGACGATAGGCTCTGTACCATGAACAGCACTTCTACTGAAAATAATTAAAATGCTGGATACAAGGCAAAATATATACATACATTTTAGTACATTAGTGAGCTGGCAAGAAAGTAAGGAATCTTCAGAGGCCAAACATAGAGTAAAAATTGGGATCCAGAGAAGGGAGCATTTTACAAAGTCAGCTTCTACCCTGAGGGTATTGTCCAAATCCTGGCGAAAGTGTGTATTCAGTTTTGCCATTTGGAGTAAGGAGACAAGAGACAAAGCCCAGAGGCCCTTCCCAAGGTGGAAGGGTCTAACAAAGGACCATTGCCTACCCAGCTGGGACCCTACACCCTCAGCTAAGGATAAATCACAAATGTAAACCTTCATCACGAAAGCGCACAACGCGGAAAACTGGTGCTGAGTGAATGGGGGAAATTGTGATTACAGGCTGACTCACATGAAGGTCTGTGCTGGATTCATGCTATGTGGTCTCAAAAGTTTCGGGCAAGGAACTTACCTGAGCAGTCCTGGACTGGGTGTGCCCTTCTGGGAAAGAATGCGCCTTCAACCTATCCCTTAAAGAATTTCCACAGATAAAGTGCCAGGTAACATCAGATCACACGAAAAATCTTAATGTACGAAGAGACGAAGAATGAGGACTGCAAACCAAGAGATGGAATACCTAGTAGAATCAGATCTCCAGACACTCGAAGTATTGGAACTATCAGCGATGTAATCTAAAACCAGTGTTTTAATATGTTTAAAGAAATAAAGGAATAGATTCAAAATATGAATATGAACAAGAGGCAATAAAATGAATATTTGAAGACATAAAATAGAACTTCTGAAAAATCTGATTGTGGATCTACAGTTCAGTGGATGGGTAGAAATAGTGGATTAAACACAGCTGAAAAGAACATTTGTGGAATGAGAAATCGCTCTGAAGAAATTTATCTAGAATGCAGTACAGAAAGACAGAACTATACAAAATTAGGAAGACAGATGTAAGAGATAATGGAGGACAGGAAGAGGAGGCCTGGTCCAATTCTAATTGGATTTGCAAAAAGATACTTGTCTTAGTCTGTCTTGTGCTGCTATAACAGAACACCTGAGACTGGATACTATAGTTTGTAAGAAAAGAAATCTATTTCTCGTCGTTCTTGAAGCTAGGAAGTCCAAGATCAAGGCACCAGTATGTGGTCAGGACCTCTTACTGCCATCCTCACACAGTGGAGGGTGGAAGGGCAAGAGTATGTTGGTGCCCACCTTGAAGCCCCTTTATGATGGCATCTAAGGCTGGGCGCGGTGGCTCAAGCCTGTGATCCCAGCACTTTGGGAGGCCGAGGCCTGGCAGATCACTTGAGGTTAGGAGTTTAAGACCAACCTGACCAACATGGTGAAGCCCCGTTTCTACTAAAAATACAAAAATTAGCCAGGTGTGGCAGTGCATGCCTGTGGTCCTAGCTACTTGCATGGGTGGCTGAGGCAGGAGAATCGCTTGAACCCAGGAAACGAAGGTTGCAGTGAGCCGAGATCGTGCCACTGCACTCCAGCCTCTGCACTCCAGCCTGGACACAGGCAGGCTCACACACACACACACGAGCACCTAATCCCATCGAAAAGGGAGGAACCCTCCTGGCCTAGTCACCTCGTAATACTCTCACAGTGGCAACACTTAAATTTTGGAGGAACACCTTGAACCCACAGCAATATATGAGAAAGAACAGTGCAGAAATAATATTTGAAAAGATAATGGCCGAGAATCTCAAGCCAGATAAATAAAAACAAATGCCTATCTAGACATTATCACAGTGAAACTGCAGGCATCAAAACCAAAGAGAAAACTTAAAGGCAGTGAGAAGAAAAATGGAGTTGAGTTCAGAGGAGTGACAATTAGACCGACACCAACTTCTTACCAGTAACAGCAAAGGTTATAAGATAATGAAATAATCTTTTCAGTGTGCGGACATAAGATATTTGCCATCCCAGAACTCTATACTTTCTTTTCTTTCTTTTTTTTTTTTTAGATGAAGTCTTGCTCTGTTACCCAGGCTGGAGTGCCAGTGGTATGATCTCAGCTCACTGCAACCTCCGCCTCCTGGGTTCAAGCAATTCTCCTGCCTCGACCTCCTCAGTAGCTGGGATTACAGGCACCCACCACCATGCCCAGCTAATCTTTGTATTTTTAGTGGAGACAGGGTTTCACCATGCTGGCCAGGATGGTCTCGAACTCCTGACCTCAAGTGATCCACCCACCTTGGCTCCCAAAGTGCGGGGATTACAGGTGTGAGCCACTGCTCCTGGCCGGGATATCACGTTTTATACCAGCCAAAACTTAATGCCATTGATAACATAGAGTGAACATAAACACAGAAAGAGCATGCCATCTCTTCTGCCCTGGCCTTACCAAAACTTGTCGTCTATCAAAATCACTATATTGAGGAAGTTCCTGAATATCCGATAATAGTTGGTTAAGATTACCAAGGTATGACCTGGAATGATATTTTAAAAGTCTCTATCTCTGAGTATATGAGAGCTGGTAAGGGCAAAATGTGGAAGTATTTATATCGAGCATAGAGGACCCTGGATCACCTGTAATAATGGTAGAAACATCATCTCTTCAGAAACACCCATTGAATGATTTTGCTTAAAATGAGCAGGTGAAACCTTTTGAGGTTTGCTTCAGATGGACATGTAGGCCACTTCTACGTATGGACAGAAAGCACCCCTTGCATATTAGATAATCCATATGGTACTTGGTACGATGCTACTTCCATGAATAATTACAGTCTTTCATGTATAAAATCTTAGCAGAAGTGTTTAAAAGCTTTCTGAGCACCACACAAGAAGACGCACTGAGTGTTCCGGAGACAAACCTACTAAAGAAGCTGAGTTTCTTCACCAGGATTATGTATTGCAAGAGGCCTTTGTCAATCCGGGCACCACAGATTCAAATGGATAAAGGAAAAAGCATCAGCAGAGCGTTAGTTCACAGAGTAGAGGTGAAGTTGACTCTAGGCAGGTCTAGTTGACTCTAGCCTATGGAAGAGAAGAGAGAAAGAAGAAAAGCTTTTGGCCAGGCGTGTGCCACCACGCCCGGCTAATTTTTGTATTTTTAATAGGCATGGGGTTTCACCATGCTGGTCAGGCTGGTCTCAAACTCCTGACCTCAGGTGATTCACCAGCCTTGGTCTCCCAAAGTGCTGGGATTACAGGCATGAGCCACCACACCCAGCCAGAACCGATATATTTTTTAAAAGCCTGTTGTAAATTTGAATTTGTGTGCCTCTAAAGGTTAATTCTATTTGACAGCTTATTTTGAATTTTTGAATGTTATAGACATAAAAGTCAGAAAATATTTAAAAAATAAAGACTGAGGATTAAAAGACATTTTTCAGACAAAAACTGAGATAGTTAATCTTCTGCAGATCTTGACTGAAAGATCTTGATTCTGCTAGAGACTGAAGGAAAGTAATCCCAGATGAAAGGTCTGAGATTTTAGGAGTGAAAAACAAAGAAAGTGGAAAATGTGGGCAAATAGAAATGATTTTTGGCTGTATAAAGTGATTACCAGAATGCTTATGTGTGTTAAATAAAAAGTTTAGAGTTAAAATTTAGACAACAATCAGCCGATTGGATAAATTGAGTTGAAGTCTTCTAAGATCTATTTAATAGCCAGCAGGAGGATAAATATATTGATTAGTTTTATACATTGAAATGTTATATGTACACATTGTGATTTTTAGGGTAACTGCTAAAGAATAGAAACAGAATTTAACTCCCAACATTTTGAAGAAAAAATGAAATGATTTTAAAATATTCAATCGAAAAGTTTAGAAAGCAGAAAAAAAATCTACAACAGATACTACAAATAGAGAACACAGATTTTTAGACCAACCCCCATCTGTATATAACATAACTACATTAAATGTAAAGGATCAAATATTTCAGTTAAAAGACATTATTGGACTGGGTGAAAATGCCAATTACTGACTTTGAAAATAAAAAGGATACAAAGACTAAAAAAAAAAAATGGAAAAATTATGCAATAGAAAAATAAACAAAAGAAAGTGTAATATATCAACTTCAGGCAAAATAAAAATTATTATGTATTAAATTATTATATCTTCCACTAAAAAGACAAAGATTGTCCTGTCTAGATAACAAATAGTAAAATCCACTAAGAAAAAACCTAAACATAAAGAAAGGTTAAAAGTGAAAAGATTTAAAAAGACACACCGTTCGACATTAATCTAAAGAAAGCTCATGTCACTAAGTTAGCATCTGACAATAAATGGTCGTAGGTTGGGTTCTCCTGACGCAGACACCGAGATGGGTTTTGGAGAGCAAGACGTAGATGAGGGAAGCAGCCTGAGCAGGACGGAGCAGAGGGGGAGGCTGCGCTGCAGTGTGGACCTGGCAAAGCCTTGACCAGCTTGGGTAGATCTAGGCAGGAGGAGGGTGTGATTGGGAAGGGGGCCCTCCTGGAGTCCCAAGGCACTGGTAGTGTTCCATTTCTTCAGCTGGATGGGGGCGTTGGGTACACAGACATTTAATTTTTATTCTTTAGTTCCTAAACAGTCTACAAATAGTGTCTGTATCTATTGAATATATCATTAAAACAGCATTTAAAATATGACGTGTAACATAGCATTATAGATTTGAATTCCTGATCAGGCCCTCTCCTTAACTTGGGCACAGAACTGAGCCCCTCGGAGCCTCAGTTTCCTCCTGTGTAAGGAATTGAACCTCTGCTAAACACCCTGGTGTCTTCCTCTTACCCTTTGAAGTCTAGACTCCTTATCATGGCTCACAGACCCCCGGGCCGGGCAGCGGCCTGCCTCTGAACATAGCCCGCACACCTTCTCATTGCCCATCCAGCTCTGGCCTCCCTGGCCTCTTCCTGGGATCTGCTGAGCTCCTGCCACCCGCGGGCTTCATGCCAGCTGCATGTTCCCTTTGCCTGGAAGGCTTCACGGCCCCTCAGCTTGTGGGCCTCTATCCACTCCGTCCGAAGCGTCATCCCATCTTCCCTCGTCTCTAGTTTAGCTTCCTGCCCATGTTTATTTTCTTCATGGCACCTGCTATGAGTTCAGCTCAGGTTCCTTATTTGTCTGCTTATTTCCCATCTGGCCCCATCACAAGTTCGGGCGGTGTCTTGCCCCCATCCGCAGACCTGGCAGGTAGGAGGCACGGACAGACGTTGGAAAGTGGAGAGAGGCACCGGCTGTGCCTCCTCGTGTTCTCTTCCATCCTCACCTGGCCGGCTGGTCCCAAGGAGGAGCTCTGCAGTGGTTTGCAGATATGCCGGGGATGCAAAATGGAAACCGGCATAGGGACAAGCAGATGGAACCCAGGGACGGTAGAGACGCACTGACCACGATGCCTTCCCTGCGCAGCTGAAAGGGAGCCATCGAGTGGACTCAGCGCTCCGCAGTGGTCAGATCCAAGTGCCGCAGCAGCAGAGGGGTCGGGAGCTGGCTCTGAAGCCGGAGCAGCTGCATCTGACTCTGGTGCCTCCACTTCCTCGCCCGTGACCCTCATTTTCCTCATCTATTAAGAGCCCCCTCAGTCTCCCTGGTAAAGTAGGGATGATCATGACCCCAAATCCACAGAGCTGTTGAGAGGCTTAAATGAGATGAGGATTGTTAAATCTTGGGACACAGTACATGCTCATTAAGTATCAGCTGTAGTTATTTAATTTGCACATTACCTTAGGAGGAGTAAAATCTACTATATTTCATTTTACAGATGAGAAAACTGAGGCCAGGGGAAACTAAGTAATTTGCCCTAGTTCATGCTTCTGGCAGACAGTAGCCTTGCATCTTAAAATAGACTATTTGGAAATCCTCGTAGTGTTGATCTCTGCCTATCCTATGTAAATATTTATTCAGTTAAAATGTTTTAATAAAGATTTTTTTTTTAAATTTCTAAGGGGAGATGAGAATGAAACGAATTGCTGCCGCACGTTAAGAGAACTTGAAATCCAAGTTGGAGAAAAGGTAACAAATTTTAAAGAACTGATTTCCTCCCACCCCACCTGTCATCAGCGGTGACTGTTAGCAGAGGTAGAGGACAGATAATGAGCCACACCTCGCCATCCGAGCTCTCATGGCAACAAGTCCGACTAAATAGATTTCCTGATAACAAGCCAGTGTGGAAGCTTGTGTTCCGACTACTTTGACGGTCTTGGACGGCATCTCTTTTGGTGAATGACACCAGCAGAAGCCCTGGAATATTAATCACTTCTGTATTAACTTCAGATCATCCTTAGTAGGGCTGCCTTTTCTGTCTTTGTCTGAGACAAAGCTGAGCAGGTTTTTCTTTAGAGAGCAAAAGCAAAGACGACGGCCTTGCAGCAGTCGGTGCCAATCGAGAGCGGCGTAGTAAAAATAACCAAACTCCAAGGGATGTGTCTTTAAGTATTGAGTGATTTAGCCGTAAAAGCTACTCTGTGTTCAGAAAAAGAGCACGCAGCATCGCTCCTATTTGCTGATTGTGGTTAGATCTCGCCGCACACAGCTAAGGAGGGGAAGAGAGGATAATGTCATTCAAGGGTTGGAATCAGACTCCTTTTTAAAATGCATTTGGGCCTGTCAGTTACATGAGCAGTTTGAGAATCATGGTTTAATTTATTTGATTCAATATGTTGGTTTGAAATGTGACAAATTTTCTTTCTTTTTTGAACTCTTCTGAGACTCATATATTTCATACTCAAAAATAGCCAGAGATCCACAAAATGTTTGTCTCCATTTCCCTGGCTGATACCATTAACAACAGAAGATTCATCTTAGTGGGATCATTTCTTAGCATTACGTGTTTCTAAAGACCTCTTCTCACTATAGTTTGTATTAGTAGGAAGCCTGGTATAATTATCTGCTGCTTTTGCTGTGACCCATTTGTTATTCTGCAAGAAATTTGTCATGCAATTGCTATTATTTAGGGGTGCAGGTCTTTTTGTCTGTTTAAACCGTGTTAATCATGATAGGCTTCTGGAAAAGTCCACTGTGTGTGACAGTGATCACAGCAGCGGAAACATAGTTGAGGATCGATAATGCAACATGACTTTGGGTGCAGAGACGCAGACAGAGGCCAGGGTCTGTACATGGACCAAAATAAGGCTGTGGTGAGCAAATCTCAGGTGGCACTCCATCGCCGCCTATCCTTTCAGTTAATGTTTTAAATCCCATCCTCTGCCCCGTGGAAACCCACTGCTAAGAGTTTAAACCCTGGCAGTTTTCATGCAACTGCCTGTGAGAACAAAGGTGGCGGGAAAAGGTAACACTAGGTACCAGCGTGCTGGAGGGCTCTTTCCGCTGTGTGTTCCAGCCAGCACAGACTGTAGCCGCAGTTCTACCTCCGACCCCAACCCTGGACATGCAGCGGAGATAGGAGGAGACTGACCCCGGGACACGGGCAGACCTGGGTTTCTATCTTGGGGCTCTGCCATTTACCAGCCAGGTGGCCTTAGGCAGGTCCTCATCATTGGGTTTCTTCACCTGTCAGTGGGGATAACAGCTGCCACCTTCACGTGCTGCTGTGGGGCTTAAAAACATCCAGAATAGGCCGGGCTAGGGCTCACGCCTGTAATCCCAGCACTTTGGGAGGCTGAGGCAGGCAGATCACGAGGTCAAGAGATCGAGACCATCCTGGCCGACATGGTGAAACCCCATCTCTACTAAAAATACAAAACTAGCTGAGTGTGGTGGCGGGCGCCTATAGCCCCAGCTACTTGGGAGACTGAGGCAGGAGAATTGCTTGAACCTGGGAGGTGGAGGTTGTAGTGAGTCGAGACTGTGCCATTGCACTTTAGCCTGGTGACACAGTGAGACTTCATCTCAAAAAAAAAAAAATTCAGAATAAAGCACCTGGAACACTTAAAAAATGCCAGCTATTATTATTATGCTTATCCATAGAGCTTCCTTTGAAGTACAGGTAGGAACACAGGTGGATCTCATTCCTTTCCAGCCCCTGCACCTCCAAATGAGAGCAAATCAGTATACCCCTCAACCTTGTGCTATGTGCAGTAGCATGCTTCTGATGAAGACGCTGACCCTTCTAATGGTCACTCACTAATGCTGGAGACTGACCAGAAGACTTAGAAATTATCTAAGTAAGCCTCTCTTCATATACATGTCATTGCTGGGTGATGGTTACAGTTTGGGAGTGAAAGAATGCTAATTACCTTAAATATAAGTCCACGTGGCTTACCTGAGCCAAGAATGCATGCAAAGGCCTCTGAATTTTTGGAGCCAGATGCATGTGTGGACTGGCCTTCCTACACCAACAAACAATTAGCAGTGGGAACCCCAAACCAGCTAAACCCCAGCACTCCTATTTCCTAATTGTTTTCTTCTGCGGTGAGCTAGGGCCAATGGCTGGTTTGTTAGCCTCTCCTCTTGACCGGCATTCAGACCCTCCAACTGATTCGCATCGTGACTCTGCTTTCCTGTGGCTCCTCTGTGCCTTTGACTGAGCGTCTCCTAGACTGGCTCCTGAGTTCTCTGGCCTTCAGCTTCTTTGTCTCCATAGTCTCCTGGGAGCCACAGGGCTTGATGGAGAATCAGGTACACCTGGGCTAAAACCCCGCCTCCGCTCTGGGGCTGGTGGGATGCCTGGGATGGTTTCTCATCTGTTCTGAGTTTCCTCATCTCTGAAGTGGAGGCAACAAAACCTGCCTTTCAGGGCACTGACAAGAATAAATGTAAGCGAAGCCCCAGCAAACAGCAGATACTCAGTGGGTGTCAGTCCCTTCCTCCAGTGGTGAGTGAAGCTGGTTCTTGCTGACCCCCACTAAAACCCTTCCTGTGGCCGTGCTTATCTGCCACGAGATGGCAACCCCTTGACCACAGAGATACTTGGTTTTCTCCCCTCTGAGAAACCAAAGACTCCAACTTAACTGCCTTAGAAAATAAGGAGCTTCTCATCTCATGGAAGTCAGGAGGGAGTGGAGGCTAGGATAGACTAACCCCCTACCTCTCTTTCTGGTCACCAGGAGGTTGCCACCACTCCAGACAGATGTTTTGAGGTCAATGTTTTTTTTAGTGGGCTATTTTTTTTTCCCCCAATATGATTCTAAAAACAAGAGAAAGCCCCTCCCTGTGTCCCACAGGCTGGAATTACGCCCTACACCTAAAGCAGTCATGGGCAAGGAAATTGTTTTCTGCCAGCAGCCAGGACCACCCTTGATCACCACCTGGTGTGGTCACTGGGTTCCCTCCTCTGGAGCACATGGCCACTCAAGGAGGAAGGATGTCTGAACAAAATGGAAAATAGAGGGTTTAGTTAAAAAAGAGAGGTGGGCGGCCGGGCGCGGTGGCTCACGCCTGTAGTCCCAGCACTTTGGGAGGCCGAGGTGGGTGTGGATCACCTGAGATCAGGAGTTTGAGACCAGCCTGGTCAACATGGTGAAACCGTGTCTCTACCAAAATTATAAAAATTAACTGGGCATGGTGGCACGTGCCTTTAATCCCAGCTACTCAGGAGGCTGAGGCAGGAAAATCACTTAACCCGGCAGACAGAGGTTGCAGTGAGCTGAGATTGCGCCGCTACGCTCCAGCCTGGGCAACAGAGCGAGACTCCATCTCCAAAAAATAAGGAGAAGTAGGTGGAGGTGAGTGGGTTTGGGAAGGCAACCAGTGTATATGCTTCAGCTGCCTACGGAAGGGACCCCTCTTGGCTGGTGGGACCGCCATCTTCTGGACACTGATGTAATTTTTCAGATTTTGCGAACTCTAGTAATAATAGCTTGCACTGATTGAGCACTTACTGGGAGCTTTCTAAGTGCTTTATCCTGTGAAGTCGTTTAATTCCCAGGTGGACCCCATGAGGCAGGTGCCGTTGTTACCCCATATTGACATGCAGGGAAGCTGAGAACAGGCTAAGCAGGCATAGGTCCATGCTTCCTTTGCATTTGGCAAGACACCAACTTGTTATGCCCGCAGCTTGACCCAGCCCGTCGCAGGGAGAAGTCTTTCTGTCCCCATCGCCCCATAGTCAGTGGAGCTTTGTGTTCCAACCACAGCCTCGTCTTTCCGTCTACGGAGCGCCTACTTCAGGGGGGGCATTTGGGAGTTTTCTTCCCTTTCTCTCCGGTGTCCTGCCTTTCACATGCCCTCCACCTCATCAGCCATCTGTGCACCCTGTCTGCCTGTGGGGTCCCAGCTCCACCCTGGAGCGGTGGCAGTGCGTGAGACCTCAGACGGCTTCCTCACACTCCAGGCAAGGACTGCCAGGAGAGAAGGAGCTTGAGCAGAGATGCAGTGTGTTGCCAGGCTAGCGAAGGGTCAGGTTTTTTCTCCATGCATCATTTGCCAACTGTGGACAAGAGGTGAAGATGGGAGTGACTAAGGAAGGAAGAGAATCCCGTCTTACCACGTACGGTGGGGTGAGGGCTCATTGTGAGCCCTGTGGAGGGAGGTGCTAAGAGACAGGAAGCGACTCTGACTGTATATACAGTGTATGCTTAGAAGGTCATGACTCTGCCCTTCACAAGAAAATATGTTCTTACCTGAAGACTAGAATTAAAGAAAGTATATTCAGTTAAAGAAATATAAAAAGAAAAAGAAAGCACCCAAAGCCCCAGGCCATTTGGTCTGGTACCAACCACATCACTATCCCAAGTCAGGGAGCTCTCAAAAGATTTGAAAAAAATGCTTGAAGGCTCAGGCGCCATGATGCCAGAACATCTGGTCCACCCAGTCGGCTGTGACGAGCGTGTCTGTTGGACACCGAGCGATCTGACACAGGTTGTGATGGGATTACCGTGGTGCCTTGGAGGTGTGTGGCGCCTTAGTCATTTCCGAAGCAATTAGTAAATAATTATCATTGCCGAGCTGCTGGCTTGCTCTGTAATACCCTCATGAAGAAGAGACAGCAGTGATGGGTAGATTCATTCTCTTAAAGAGGTGAATTTTCTTTAAAAAGACATTTAAAAATTTAATATTGAAAGGACAAGGAATCAGTTGTTAGAATCACCACCATTTCATAAACACACCTTAAT